CTCCCCCCCTTGCCCTGGGAAGCTTTTCCAACAGAGCAAAAATGATTGTAGGTTTCAACGCAGGTGCCCCCGCCGTCGGCTGGTGTAGCTGCCAAGAGCATAATGTTACGGATTCTGAAGCTGAATCGGGGCTCAGCCGTAAACGGGGAATGTGCCCCCAAGTAAAAACCAGATGGCTGGTTATGAGTGTCTGCGGGGGGGTGGGGGTGGGAGTGAAGAGGGGTAAGTTCATGGGCGAGAGAGTTGCCATCTTTCTCTTCTCCTAAAAGTCCCACCTGCCTGCAGAGTGTTAAGAGATAAATAACACAGCGCAGAAAAGCTGAGAGCAAAAATCAAAGGTGAATCCGATTGGAGACGTGCCTCACATCGGCCTCGATGTGTACAGCACTTGCGGACCGAGTTCCCAAAGGGCAGGGCCCCCTGGTGGTCATACACATCTTCTGAGTCTCCGGCGAGCCTATCAGACGTGAGACCTGGCCCTGCCTGCTAAGAGAAATACACAGGAACCGTTACATTATGGTAGGAAACTTTGTGGGGAGCAGCGGTTGGGACCGCAGCTGTGACCACACAAACGTGTCTGTCCCACTGGGGTTCTAGCCAAGAGATTGGCCCCCCCGAGTTTTGTCCTAGCATTTTCCCTAGACCAGTGGTTCTCAACCGTCTGGCCCTTTAAATACAGTTCCTCATGTTGGGACCCAACCATAAAATTATTTTCGTTGTAAATATCTGATAGGCAGGATGGTCTTAGGCGACCCCTGTGAAAGGGTCGTTCGACCGCCAAAGGGGTCGCGACCCACAGGTTGAGAACCGCTGCCCTAGACAATGAAGTGGACCCCCTGTGCCCTCAGCACCCTCTTCTGCTCTGGGGCCACCTCCAGACCCTGGCAAAGCAAGGTGACAACCCAAACCAGAGCATTTCCCTGGAGTCTTTGTCTCTGGCGCTGACTGTCCCAAACCCCATCAGGGATAAGAATTGCTTTGGGAACCTGTTGAGACTAAAACTCCCACTGAATGGGAATCTCCAGGGAGCGGCCTGAGCGGCTGTTCATTCAGCAAGAATTATATGTTGGAAAACTCTCTCTCGGGGTCAGTGAGAGTTTGAAGGGTCTAAATTCTACACAGACCCGAGTGTCACTTTTCCTGAGGCGGCCAGCCATACCTTTAATCATATTCTCAAAGGGGTCTGTGAAGTGGTCTGAAAAGACCACTCGGAGGGATGCACTTAGGCCAGTGGTCGGCAAACCGCGGCTCGTGAGCCACATGCGGCTCTTTGGCCCCTTGAGTGTGGCTCTTCCACAGAATACCACGTGTGGGCGTGCACGTACGGTGCGAAGTTGACTTAAAACTTCAAAGTTTATTAAGTTGATTTTAGGGAACGTTGTGGAGTGAAAGAAGATGTAGTGTCGAGGATGGAGAAAGGTATGTGGAGATGGTTTGGACATACAGAGAGGATGAACGAAAGGAGATAGACGAAACAAGTATACAAGACGAGTGTGGATGGGAGAGTTGGAAGGGGTCGATCTCAGCGAACGTACCTCAATCAGATTGAGGACGTTTTAGCAAAGGCCAGCTTAGGAGCACCCTAATTAAGTTAATAACAGTGTACCTACCTATATAGTTTAAGTTTAAAAAATTTGGCTCTCAAAAGAGATTTCAATCGTTGTACTGTTGATATTTGGCTCTGTTGACTAATGAGTTTGCCGACCACTGACTTAGGAAAAAAACCCATGTACACATCCTGGATCTGAGGAAAGAGACCAAGGCCACCAGGCTACGGCCGTGTCTTCTTGGCCAAAGGCCCGGATGCCTGGTGTGATGCGGGTTTGTAGGAGGTGCCTGGTAAATGGCTGCTGAATGAATCAACGAATCCATGAATGAACTAAAACATTTGCCTGGAGAGCAGGAGACAGCAGGTGTGTAGGTAGGAACAATAAGGCCCAGCCAGCCCTAGCTGGTTTGACTCAGTGGATAGAGCGTCAGCCAGTGGACTGAAGGATCCCGGGTTTGATTCCGGTCAAGGGCACATGCCTCGGTTGCAGGCTAGATCCCCGGCCCTGATCGGGGTGCATACAGGAGGCAACCAATCGATGTGTCTCTCTCACATCGATGTTCCTCTCTGTCTCTCCCCCTGCATTGCACTTTCTCTAAAAATCAATTGAAAAATGTCCTAGGGGCTGGCCAGCCGGCGTGGCTCAGTGGTTGAGTGTCAACCTATGGACCAGGAGGTCACGGTTCAATGCCTGGTCAGGGCACATGCCCAGGTTTCGGGCTTGATCCCCAGTGTGGGGCGTGCAGGAGGCAGCTGATCAATGATTCTCTCTCATCATTGATGTTTCTCTCTCTCCCTCCCTCTCCCTTCTTCTCTGAAATCAATAAAAATATATTCTGAAATCAATAAAAAATATGTTTTTTAAAAAATCCTCAGGTGAGGACTAATAAAAAATAAATAAGGCCCAGCCAGTCTCTGCCTAGTTAACACTGGAAGGCTTCCTGGAGGCAGTGGCCCTGCCCGGCATTCTAAACAAGGGGCTTCTGTTTGGAACACCCCCCAGGAAGTCATTTCCCAGAAGCTGTACAGACGCTCTGACCCTCTCGGGTCCACACAGAGGCTGTGCCTATCGTGTGGCCCTGACCATTGCCTCCCCCGCCCCCCCTCACAGGGTGTGAAGGAGTTCAAGTGCGAGGTGTGTGGCCGGGAGTTCACGCTGCAGGCGAACATGAAGCGGCACATGCTGATCCACACCAGCGTCCGGCCCTACCAGTGCCACATCTGCTTCAAGACCTTCGTGCAGAAGCAGACCCTCAAGACCCACATGATTGTACACTCGCCGGTGAAGCCATTCAAATGCAAGGTACCCGGCCCGCAGGCCCCAAGGCGGGCCTGTCCCCTGGGCGGCCCGGAGTCGGCAGGACTGCGGCAGCGGAAGCCCACCCAGCC